TTGCTAGACATTCATCAGGCACTTAAGCTATGGGGGAGAGAAGTGAGGGGCTCAGGCTCTGGAGCCAGTGGGTTTAAACTCCACTCTACCACTAACAAGATGTTATTAAAAACTACTGTGTGCCTCAGTTTCCTCACCTGTAACATGGGGATAATAATGGTACCTGCCTCCTGGCTTGTGGAGAGGACGTGCTATATATAGTGCTTACAACAGCACAGCACACGTATATGGGTACTTCACAAACACGAATCCATTCAAGGAAACCAACCCTGGGTGCCCTGGGATGGCCGTTGGTCAGAGACACAGAAGCTGAAGCCAGCTTAGGATAAGCGGAGGGGCCCAGGCCTGCCCTTGGCTCCGCTGACCTCACTTCTGTTCCAGGGCTGTTTAGTTACCTGCTCCTAGGCCTGGGAGGCCCAGTGGACAACAGAGTGACCTCTTCACTGATTTGATCTGAATCCATTCTGCTCCGTGAGGGCCCATGATATTCACAGAGAGGCGAACTGGCATGATATTCACAGAGAGGCGACATCACCCGCTGAAGATCACACAGCAAGTCCCTGGGCCACCTGAATCCTGGCCACAGCTCCACCCTGCTACCCCCTCTCTTAAGTAACACATTAATAAGTGTCTTACCCTCAGACCATTATCTGTGCTGCCTGGTTAGGGAACATTTCTGAAACACATCAAACATTGACAAAAGGAGGTGTTTTTCTGTCCTCAGGCCAGGCCCTTCGGCCTCTGTTAACCAGTGAGTGTCCTCTGTTAATCCTGAGCCCAGCTCCTCCCACACACCAGGACAAACAAGGGCACTGAGCACGGGAGAAAGCTGTCCACCAGGGCCAGGAGGGGACGTGGAAGGTTAGTGGGTCCCCTCCCCCAAAGCAATGCACACAGCTGGGGCTCAATAAGTGCTCCTGGGTGGTAGGAACAGAACCAGCTGAGGGCACAGGAAGAGGGATCTGCTAAGCAGAGGAGGCCTGACCTGGGCTTCATTGGGTAAAACCAGTCATCATAATAAGTAGCTGGCATTTTGGGAGCTCTTAGTAAGTTCCAGACACTGCCCTGAGCACTGGACATGGTCACTCACTAACATTTCCATGTTTCACCATCAGTAGGGTGCGTATGTCGCTCTCCCCAGTCTACAAACAGGAAGCTGAAGGCAAGAGCGATGAAGTCATTTGCTTAAGTCACACTATTACCAAAGGCCGAGCTTGGATTCACACCCAGCATCCTGGCTCCAGACCCAAGCTCTCAACCACCATGCAAGCCTGTGGGAGTGGGAGGGGTGAAATGTACGAGTGAGGGGTGACTTCTAGGTATTGGCTTGGGGTGGCTGTCCCTTTGATGGATATGCGGGAGGGGCGCAGGTGTTAGGTAGGGTACTGGGGAGAAGGTGGATGAATTGGGTTGGCAGGTGTTGAGTTCCAGATGCCTGGGGATGCTCAGGTGGAGGAGGCAGGAGCGAGGCGGCTTATGGCGCTGAGGCTGGTGAAGGGGGCTGGAGCTGCTCACTCCAGAGGCATCAGTGTAGAAATGCAGCCTGGGAGACACCTGAGCAATGAAGGGGCAAGGCCACAGCTAAGGCAGGGGAATTGATATTTAGTGTGCAAGGACTCAAAATGACAGCAGGAAGTGTTTTGGAGACCATTATTATTATTATTATTGAGATAGAGTCTCACTCTGTTGCCCAAGCTGGAGTGCAGTGGTGCAATCATAGCTTATTGTAACCTTGAACTTCTGGGCTGAAGTGATCCTCCTGCCTCAGCCTCCTGGGACTCAGCCACCACAACCAGCCAATTTTTAGATTTTTCTGTAGGGACAAGGGTGTGGGGGGGCCTCCCTATATTGTCCATGCTAGTCTTGAACTCCTGACCTCAATTAGTCCTCCTGCCTTAGCCTCCCAAAGTGCTGGGATCACAGGAATCAGTCACCACATCTAGCCAAGTGCTATTTTTATTTATTTATTTCATTTCATTTCATTTATTTATTTTTGAGACAGAGGTTTGTTGTTGTTGTTGTTGTTTTTGAGATGGAGTCTCGCTCTGTCACCCAGGCTGGAGTGAAGTGGTGTGATCTTGGCTCACTGCAACTTCTACCTCCTGGGTTCAAGCGATTCTCCTGCCTCAGCCTCCTGAGTAGTTTGGATTACAGGTACCTGCCACATGCCTGGCTAATTTTTTTGTGTTTTTAATACAGATGGGGTTTCACCATGTTGGCCAGGCTGGTCTCGAACTCCTAAGCTCAGGTGATCCACCCGCCTCAGCCTCCCAAAGTGCTGGGATTACAGGCATGAGCCACTGTGCCTGGCCAAGTGCTATTTTTAAATGAATGTTTTCTTTATTTTGAGAATAGATAATAAATGCACAATAAATTCACTCCCAAAGGGTGAAAATTGTGTCTCTTACTCTGTCCCCCTTCACCAGTTCTTCTCCCCAGAGACAGCCACTGTCCCCAGTTTCTTCTTTCTTCTTTCTTTTTCTTTCTTTTTTCCTTTTTTTTTTTTTTTTTGTTAGAGACAGGGTCTCACTCTGTTGCCCAGGCTGGAGTGCAGTGGCACGATCACAGTTCACTGCAGCCCCAGCTTCCCAGGCTCAAGCAATCTTCCTACTTCCGTTTCCCAAGTAACAGGGACTACAGATGCACACCACTACGCCTGGGTAATTAAAAACAATTTTTTTTTTTTTTTAGAGACAGGGTCTCGCTATGTTGCCCAGGTTTGTCTCAAACTCCTGGGCTTGAGCAATGCTCCTGACTCAGCCTCCCAAAGTGCTGGAATTACAAACCATGAGCCACTGTGCCCGGCCTGTTCCCAAAGAAACAAGAAAGATGTTTCTTGTACATCTTTCCAGGGATATTTAACACACAGGAATAGGTGTTCAGGTGTCGTGGCTCACGCCTGTAATCCCAGAACTTTGGAAGTGGATTGCTTTGAGTCCAGGAGTTCGAGACCAGCCCAGTCAACATAGTGAAACCCTGTCTGTGCGAAAAATACAAAAAATTAGCTGGGTGTGGTGGTGCGTGCCTGTGGTCCCAGCTGCTCAGGAGGCTGAGGTGGGAGGATCACTGGAGCCCAGGAGGTGGAGGTTGCAGTGAGCCAAGTTCGCACCACTGCACTCCAGCCTAGATAGACTGAGACCCTGTCTCAAAAAAAAAAAAAAAAAAAAAAAAAAGGGCATATACTTTCTCCTATAAATGGGCATATACTTTCTCCTATAAATGGTAACATATGCACTTTGCATCACCCTGTTTTCTCACTGGACAATACATCTTGGAGATCATTCCACACTGGTACGCACAGGGCTGCCTCACTCTTTTGATTGATGCAGAATATTTCACTGTAGGAATGAAGCATATGTAATAAACAGTCCCCTATGAATGGACCTTTAGGTTGTTTCCCATATTTTACTATTCCAACAATGCCACAATGAAGAGCCTTTGGCAGACAGCATTTTGCACATGTGTGAATATGTCTGTAAGGTAAATTCCTAAAAGCAAAATTTCTGGGTCAAAAAAGATGTGCAGTCTAAATTTTGATAGCTACTGCCAAATGTTTTTTATTGAAGTTGCTTGATTTATACTCCTACCAGCAACGTATGAAAGCACCTGTTTCCCCAATGTATTATTTTTTACATTGGTATCTTGCTGTAATTTTAATATGCAGTTCTTTTTTGAGTCAAGTTGAGCACTTTTCATCTTTTTTTTTTTTTTTTTTTTTTTAGACAGAGTCTTGCTCTGTCACCCAGGCTGGAGTGTGCAGTGGTGGGATCTCGGTTCACTGCAACCTCCATCTCCTGGACTCGAGCAATTCTCCTGCCTCAGCCTCCTGAGTAGCTGGAATTACAGGCATGTACCACCACGCCCGCCTAATTTTTGTATTTTCCGTAGAGACAGAGTTTCACCATGTTGGCCAGGCTGGTCTCAAACTCCTGACCTCAAGTGATCTGCCTGCCTCGGCCTCCTAAAGTGTTGGCATTACAGGCATGAGCCATCGTGCCTGGCTATACATTTAAAAGCCATTTCCTTTTCTGTAAACTGTCCATTGGTATCCTTTGCATATTCAGATAAGCTGGGCATCTTTGTCTTAGGAACTATTTGTGCAATAAGGAAATTAACCCCTCGTCTATAAAATGAGTTGCAAATATATGGTATTTTTCCCGGTTTGTCTTATGATTTTGTTATTATTACTTTTTTTTTTTAGATAAACATAAGCCTGTAGCACCTGGTATTTCCAGGCAGTCTCCCATACAAGCCCTAACCAGGCTTAGTTTCCAAGATCAGATGCATTCAGAATGGTACGGTTAATTTTTTAATAGAGAATTAGTTGTATTCTTACGGCTTCTGGGTTTCGCACACATAGTGTATCAGTTATTTATTGCTGCATAAAGAATTACTCCAAAATTGAACGGCTGAGAGCAACAGCAGTCAGTGCATTATCATCTCTTATGGTTCCGGGGTTGACTGGGCTCTGGGTTCAGCCAGTGATTATCCTAAAGGCTCTTTCGTGCGGTTGTAGCTGTAGTCAGATAGGAGTTGGCCTGGAGTCATCGGAAGGCTTCCTCATACCTCTGGTCATTGAGCTGGCTGTCAGCTGGGCCCCCGGCTGTGCTGTTGGCCTGAACCCCTACACATGACGTCTCTGTGTGTCCTGGACTTCCTCACAGCCTGGAACCTGGGTTTCTACCCTGGGCCAACCCAAGAGACAGAAAAAGTAGGGGCTTTCAGTCTCTTAAGGCCTGAGCCTGTGGAAACAGGACCCTGAGCGTGTACAGAAACCAGGGGTCCCATGAGGCCTTGGAGAAGATACTGCTCCCTCTCCCCCGGGGCCCTGATTCCCCAGTGGCACGAGGCGCACACCTCCCGCCCCGCCCCACACAAGGACACTGTGTAGGGTCACTGTGACTGTCAGTCCCCCAGCACGCGAAGTCACAGCCCAGCCGCAACGGCGCACTCCCGCAGGCGAAGCCACACCCCCCTGCGCACGTCGCGCGGCGTTTCTCCCGCCCACTCCAGCCTGGCCCCGCCCCGGCCCAGGTCCATTCCGGGGTCAGATTCCGTCCTGCCAGGTCTGAGTCGGCGGCTGCACGGCGGATGAGACCGGTGCTACTCATGAAGGTGTTCGTCACCCGCAGGATACCCCCCGAGGGCAGGGCCGCGCTCGCCCGGGCGGCAGAGTAAGAGCCCCGGGCCCCGTGGGGGAGGGGCGGGGCGGTCCCGGGGACCGGAGAGCCGGGCGGGGCGTTTGGGCCTTGTGGCTGGCTGGGACGGGCTTGGAGTTTTGGGGAGGCTCAGAGAAAGTTCTCTGGGGCCCAGTTCTCTCCAGGACTCTTAAGACGACGCTGGGACCTGCAGTTCCGGCTTTGGAGAGGGGGAGATTGCCCCTGAGGCAAGGTCCAGGCTAATTCTCCACGCTCCCGCAGGGCACGTGGGGTCAGGGATGTGGCGGTCACTGACCTGGCCCCCTCGGACGTTTGGCAGGGGCCTTTGATGATTCTTTTTCTTTATATTTACTTATCTTTATTTATTTATTTTTTTGAGACAGAGTCACTCTGCTGCACAGGCTGGAGTGCAATGGCTTGATCGCTCGTGGCTCACTGCAGCCTCGACTTCTTGGGCCCAATTAGTTCTCCCACCTGAGCCTCCCGTGCAGCTGGGACTACAGGTGCAAACAATCACCACCGGCTAATTTTCTGATTTTTTTTGTAGAGATGGGGGTCTCACTCTGTTGCTCCGGATGTTCTCAAATTCCTGGGCTCAAGCGATCCTCCTGCCTCAGCTTCCCAAAGTTTGGAATTACAGGTGTGAGTCACCATGACCGGCCTGAGGACCCTTTTAATTAATTTATTTATTTTTAAGACAGGGTCTCACTCTCATCCAGGCTAGAGTGCAGTGGCGCAATTATACCTCACTGCAGCCTCAACCTCCTGGACTCAAGCGATACTTCCACCTCAGCCTTCCAAGTAGCTGGGACTACTACAGGCATGCACCACCATGCCTGGCTAATTTTTTATTTTCTGCAGAGACGAGGGTCTCACTGTGTTGCCCAGGCTGGTTTTCAACTCCTGTACGAAGGGATCCTCCCACCTCAGCCTCCCAAAGTTCTGGGATTACAGGCATGAATCACTGCATCTGGCCCACCCTTGCTAAATGGAACCCTTTTTGTGGGCCAACCTTACCAGGTGCTTCATATACATAAACTTTTAATCCTGGCAGCATTGTTAAAAACTAATGAAAAACTGGAGGCTGGACTTAGGGTTAAGTTCCTTCCCAAAGCCACGCGGCTCCCAGGTGGAGGAACTCCTGGGAGTTCTGCATCTGACTGCTGTCTGATCACTGCATTTGATCAGATTTGTGTTTCCAATGTTAGATAGGAAGAGGATGCAACCCCGCCTCAGCAGCCAGTTCTAGGGGCAGATGAGATTTTCACATTTTGTTCACTGCAACAAAACCTTTGCCAAGGACCCACTTTGTAGAGCAGAGGGCGGAAGGCAGCAGCCGTGCTCGTGGTAACAGTAGCTCACACTGTATCCTGCTCATGGGGAGGTGGATGAAGTGGTCCGTGGCCCGGGCTTGGTCAGGAGGTGCGAGTAGCTATCCTGTGTCCTGCCGCATAGAGGCTCCACACGTGCTGGCTGTACTGAATTCCATGGTGCACCACTGGGACAAATATCCGGTTCCCGTGAGCTGCCGTGGAAGCGTTGGGTGACCTTGACCTTATCTGTCCTGGCCCAGTCCAACTATGAGAGTTTTCTATTTCATGGACTCCACGGACAGGAAGAGATGCAACAGGCCATTGAATCCAGGCCCCCACCTGAGGCACACCCTGCCTCTCACGGGCCTTCCCTGCAGTTGGCTGCCCGCTTGGCCACCCAGCCCTTGCTAGTGTGGGAAAGCTCTTCTCTGTGCTGACCTGAGAGCTGTCCCCATGCCTTCCCCTTGCAGCTTAGGCTCTGCTTGGGGGCCCCTCAGCCCTTCACCTGTCACCTGCTCTCTCGGTACAGTTCTGAGGCCACCCCTGCCTGACCCTGCCTCCCCTCAGCCAGCCCCGGGCAGCCTGAGGCCAGGACCATCAGAGGCCAGGGTTCCCAGCTGGGAGGGGCGGGGACAGGTGTGCGGCTCCTGCTTCTCCTGAGGGCCTCCCTTTCCCCGCAGCTGTGAGGTGGAGCAGTGGGACTCGGATGAGCCCATCCCCGTCAAGGAGCTGGAGCGAGGTGTGGCGGGGGCCCACGGCCTGCTCTGCCTCCTCTCCGACCGTGTGGACAAGAGGATCCTGGATGCCGCAGGTGCGCGCTGGGTGGGCAGGGGACTCGAGGGTGGCTTGGGCCTGTGGGCCCCTCAGCCTGCGCCACTGGCTCCTGGGCTGCTCTGCAGTGCTGTCTGGGTTCTGACGGCGTTTCCTGCGATACCAGGCCTAAGCGGGCAGATAGCTTGCTCTGGCACAGGCCCTGCCCCTCCCTCCTGCTGTGAACCCCTTGGCAGGGGGGCCCTGGGAAGGCAAAGACCGTGGTGTGGAGACTGTGGGTGTGGGGAAGAGCATCCAAGGCCCTGGGTTCTCCAGCCCTGCCACAACCTTGCTCTGTGACCTCCAGCAAGACCCTGGCCATTCTGGGCCTGTGCGTCGTGTGAGGGAGGACCCAGCTCAGCGCCGAGCTCCAGCGGGATGTCCTCCCGCAGCCGCGGCCATGGCTCTCAGCCCGTGGAAGGATCAGCCTCCCCCTGCGAGGCTGTTGTGACAGTTTTGAGAAAAGGTTCAGACTCAGGGCTGCCAGATGGGAAGGGACCCTTGTGAGTCAGTGCTGAGCCACCCCGTGCCCGGGCCTTGGCCTGGAAGCTTTCTGGTGTCTTGCTTGCAGGAGGGGGTAGAGAGGGTCGCGTCCCAGCTACCACCTTGGCACTCTCAGAGGTGTCCATGGGGGAGGCCCCAGCATGGCTGAAGGAGACCCGAGGCCTCACTGGGTGGACAGCCCAGTGGGTAAGAGCGGGGCCTTGGTGGCAGAGGCCCTGAGGTGAACCCAACTCTGCCTGTGACTGAGCCAGGCCACTTCACCTCCCTGAGATGCAGTGTCTGAGGCTGTCAAAGGGGATTATTCAGAGTTTTAAGTGAAGAACAGAGATGTCAGCCTCTTATTCTAAGAAAACAATAATAAGCGGTGTCCCCATGATAGTCCCCAGTGCTGTGGCTTTGAGTTCCTCGAGGAAAGATACTAACAAAGCACTTTCTGCACAACAGGGGCCAATCTCAAAGTCATCAGCACCCTGTCCGTGGGCGTGGACCACTTGGCTTTGGATGAAATCAAGAAGCGGTAACTGTAGCTTGGGATCTGGAGGGGGCCTAGCGAGAGGGGTGGGTATGAGAGAAAGAAAGAGGAGCTGTTGATTTGTTTTTACTTCATATCCCTCGGCCATTCAGGGAGAATGTGAGGTGGCTGATGATAGAATCTGTCCACATGTGCACAGGTCAGTTACAATAAACCCCAGCGGTCAGAAACAGTGGGTAACTTCTGTGTAGGTGGCACCCTTTCACATTCATTATCTTTTTTGATCCCCACAACAATACCTTGAAGTAGCAAAGGCAGGTATTATTCTTTCTCTTTCAGATGAGGAAATTCAGAAAGGTTAAGTTACTTGTTCAGTCCTTGAACCCTAATCTTCCATCTTCATATCCTTCCAAAGTGGGAGACAATCTAAATAGGAATGAGGACTGAACGTTTTTGAGTGCTGATTTATAGTTCTGAGCTTCCTGGCAGGCAGATCAAAGAGGGAACAAAGTAACTCCATGGAAATAGCCCAGCAGTAGACATCAGTAAAGGTGGTTGAGGCTGATGTTACCACCACATGTTTGATTCGTAGTGGGATCCGAGTTGGCTACACCCCAGATGTCCTGACAGATACCACCGCGGAACTTGCAGTCTCCCTGCTACTTACCACCTGCCGCCGGTTGCCGGAGGCCATCGAGGAAGTGAAGAAGTAAGTGAACGCAGGCCAGGTGCGGTGGCTTACGCCTGTAATTCTAGCACTTTGGGAGGCTGAGGTGGGCGGATCATGAGGTTAGGAGTTCGAGACCAGTCTGGCCAACACAGTGAAACCCCGTCTCTAGTAAAAATACAAAAAAAAATTAGCCAGGTGTGGTGGCGGGCCCCTGTAATCCCAGCTACTTGGGAGGCTGAGGCAGGAGAATCATGTGAACCCAGGAGACAGAGGTTGCAGTGAGCTGAGATCACGCCATTGCACTCCAGCCTGGGTGACGGTGTGAGACTCCGTCTCAAAAAAAATAAAAATAAAAAAAGTGAACGCCTGGCAGGAACATTGGCTCTGCTCAGCACTGGGTCCTGATCACTGGTGCCAGTCTGGCCCACGCATAGTCCCTGACCCCAGGTGTGCCCCATTGAGTGAGGACTCAGCTAAAATAATTAAAGCACGAGGCAGAGCTGCAATAAAGGCAGGAAGGGAAGTGGTGAGAGAAGAGGATGAGGGAGGACAAACAAGTTCTGCTGGTGGGTGAGGGCTAGCCGGGAGAGTGTGGATCAGGGAGGGCTTCACAGAATAAGTAGCAGGTGGGCGTCTGCTTGAGTCCTGAAGGCTGCAGGTCCACGGTCCCTTAGATGCCAAAAATCTAAAAACGTTGGACAGCTGAAAGTTCTTTCATACTAACAGGAGACTATTTAAGGCTTTTATTTCTCCCACTTAATGTGACTTTCCTAAGTTTTGCTGCAGACGTAACACCGGTTAAAACAGGGTGCTGCCCAGACACTGCAGAGGGTGATGTGTGGAATCTACCACCTGCGCCATGCTGCCATTTTAAAGGCCAAACAATTTTAAAATCTAGCCTGAAGGTTTCAGATCAGGGATTTCGGCCTGTATATCAAGAGTTAGAGTGGGCCGGGTACGGTGGCTCACACCTGTAATCCCAGCACTTTGGGAGGCCGAGGCGGGCAGATTGCTTGAGCCTCAAGAGTTAGAGAACAGCCTGGGCAACATGGCAAAACCCTGTCTCTACGAAAAATACAAAAATTAGGCAGGTGTGGTGTTACACGCTGTAGTCCCAACTACTCACTCGGGAGGCTGAGGAGGGAGGGTTGCTTGAACCCGGGAGGCAGAGGCTGCAGTGAACTGGGATCATATCACTGTACTCCAACCTGGGTGACAGAGCAAGACCCTTTCTCAAAAAAAAAAAAAAGCTGGGGGAAGCATTCCATGTGCAGATGGAGGGACTGGCCTGAGTCACGGTGGGAGGTGTGCAAACGCAGGCTGTCACAGTGTGTGACCAGCAGCGTGGGCCCCGGCACGGGGCGTGGAGCAGAGTAGACAGTGCTGAGTCCTGCTCGCTGTCCTGTCTGGGGAGTCAGCATGTCTACGGGAGGTGGCTCAGGGCAGGCTCCGTCTCTTGCCCAGGGCAGCAGCGTGGGCCCTGTGGCTGTACTCTTTGTTGCTGCCCTAAAGTGCCAAGAGAACTTGTTTTGGAATCATAAATCCTGAGTTTGCAGCCTGTTGCTCTCAGCTCTCTCCGGCTGTGTGACCTCAGGTAGGTCACCCTGTCTGGTTTGTTTTCCCATCTGCAAAACAGGATGAGAGCCAGTAAGGCCCCTTCCCGCCCTCAAGTTCTGTGTCCCTAGTGGCTTTAAAGGAGGAGTCGTTGCTGCTGCTCGTCTGCAGCGCTGAGGGGCGGTGCCTCATCCCACTCTCAGTCCCTGACCTGGAGGATGGGTTTGTACCTTGGACCACAGTCAGAGGTGCTGGGTTCTCAGCGGCCACTCATCTTGGCCCAAGGCTGGGCTTCTCACCTGCCACTCTCTCTCCCCTAGTGGTGGCTGGACCTCGTGGAAGCCCCTCTGGCTGTGTGGCTATGGACTCACGCAGAGCACTGTCGGCATCGTCGGGCTGGGGCGCATAGGTGAGGCCCCCACCTGCCCACTTGCCCGCCCCGGCTCTCACAGCTGTGGTTTGCATCCCTGGCACCACGTGTCTGAAGGCTGAGAAGACCCACATGCTGTCAGGGCACTTTGCCTGCAGTAGAGGTATCTCTAGTGAGGGTTACAGTTTTGTAAAACACAGGCAAATATATAAATAAACCAAAGCAGGAGTTCCTTAAGAACTCACTAGGTGATAAAAGCAAGTTGCCTGAGGGTCAGGGGGCTTCATGATTCCAGCTCCATAAAGAACAGATGAAGACTACAAATGCTGTGTTGGGGCCCTTAGGAGTGGTTACTGTGAGAGAGCCCATTCCCCCGACACCTGCTCCAGCTTTGGTTCTGGAAGCTTTGTGACTCACGAAGCCCTAACTCGGGCCAGAGGGCTCGGTGGGCAGAGTTGATCTGCAGTTCTGCAGATGAGGCAGAGCCACTTTTCTTCCAGTGGCCGTTATTTGGAGAAGCCTGGCAGAAGCGCTTGGGCCTAGCCAAGCAGCTATCTATTGGGATTCTCTGTCATCCTGCCTGGTGCAGGGGTGCAGGTGAGGTGGAGAGTGTGGAGAAACTGTCTAACCAGCAAACAGCCCTGCCTCTCACTAGAGAGTTGCTTGGAGGAACCCAACAGCTTTGGGGCACGTTCTGAGCCTGAAAATCCAACTGTACAAATCTGCCTCAGCAGCAGCGTACGTGAAAAGTGTCGGTGTGGGGTGAGCTGGCAGTTTGGCAGTGCCACCAAAAGTCAAATGGAGTCTGAGACTGCATTCACAGAAGCAGAGGGTCCAAGATGAAGGAGGGGACTGCTTGACCAGGCGTCTCCTTTGTGAAAACTCTCTCCAGTTCTCAGAGGTTAGGAAAAACCTGAGTGGCTTTCCAGATGGCTTGGACCATGTGAGGACAGCATCAGCCAGTGACAGCCTCAGGGGAGCTGAGGTGATGTCTCCAGATCCCTGGGGCAGTGCGGGCTGGCTGGGGGCTGGTTATGGCGGGGCAGCCAGCCCCCCACCCACTTTGGGGGAGACAGGAGCAGGCAGCTCTGGGGCTGTGCTGATGAAAGGGTCTGCCCTGAGGGCCGCTGTCCCGGAGCTGCTGGGTGGCGCCCCTGCCCTCTGCGGGACTGGGAACGAGACGCGGACTCTCCTTGCTCTAGGCCAGGCCATTGCTCGGCGTCTGAAACCATTTGGTGTCCAGAGATTTCTATACACAGGGCGCCAGCCCAGGCCTGAGGAAGCAGCGGAATTCCAGGCAGAGTTTGGTAAGTGAAGCTTGATTTCCACAGGAGCCTATCTGTGCCCAGTTGAGAGGCAGTATTTTCTCTCAATGGTGGCATTTTCAGGCAGAGGGCAGGAGCTCCAGTCATGTCCAGGGGCTGCTGTGTCTGGTAGATGTTTAATCTCCCTGCCCCTGGACACAGGCCCACTCAAGAGGCACAGGGACTTACCCAGGTCCTCTCCGTGCCAGCAGAGCAGTCCAGGGCTCCCGTCTTTCAGCGTCCTGTGTTGCCATCCCCGTTGTGGGCGGAGCAGCGGGGATGGTGATGGGTGTGAGGAAGGGCTGGGCACTTGCACTGGCTTTTCCTTCATCAACTGGCAAGCACTACCCTAGCCTCTGTGCGCTTTAGTCCAGGCGGATCCAGCCCCTGGCGGGTCCACAGCCTGGTGAGCAAAAGGCAGGCTGGATCTCAAGCATTCCCCACGCCCCTGGACACTTTGGGCCCTGAAGGTGATTAAAGCCAGAGTGGTCCAGGTCCCACTGTGTGTGATTTGACTTCGTACACTCATGAGAGTTGTCCAGGTAGAGACTCGGCCTTCAGGAAGCATCTTGGGAGTCTCTGTTATGGGAGTCGGGAGCAAGGGGCTGGTTTCCCACCATCTGGTTGTCCCTAGCCTGGGACTCAGTGCCTGATGGAGTCCTGCCCTCCCTCAGTGTCTACCCCTGAGCTGGCTGCCCAGTCTGATTTCATCGTTGTGGCCTGCTCCTTAACGCCTGCAACCAAGGGACTCTGCAACAAGGACTTCTTCCAGAAGATGAAGGAAACAGCTGTGTTTGTCAACATCAGCAGGTATCCTAGGGCCACCTTACCCAGCAAGCCTGGAGAGGAGCCGTCCCCACTGCTGCCATCTGGAGATTTTCTTCCCCGTGGGTGGTTGATAAGACCCCAGGCTGAGCTTGCTGGTTTCCATAAACCAACCAACCAACTCAGAAATTCGTGGGAATACACGAGAGCTCCACACAGGGAAGAAGAGCTGTCGCAGTGGGCCTAGCCTGCCTGCTTCTCAGCAGTGGCCCCTGCCTGGCAGGGCCTGGCACACAGCAGGGTGGCTTCAGGGAGTGTTCCCAGGGAGCCTTGGCAGGCCCATTGTCCTCAACCACAAAGGGCTGGACTTCAGGATCTGAAGGGCCCTCTGGAGGCCGCCTCCCACACTGCTGAGCCTGGCTTTGGCTGCCTGTGGTTCAGTGATATTTTGAATCTTACCCCCCTGGGCAGACAGACCCTAAAACTCACGTGGTTGTAGTTCCTCACACTGTCCCTAGGGCTGCCGTCAGGCCATTGAGCATGTATGGGGGTCAGACCTTCCTTCTCTGCCACTCCAAGGCCTTCCTAGCTGGTCCCCCTTGAGCCTGTTTACGTAAGTTTAGGGGAAGGGGGATTGGGTGAGGTCACCCTGAGGACTTATCCACCCCAAAGGTACCTGTAATTACCAATGTTTAGCCACAAAACAGGTAACCTGGGAATGGAAGAGTCAAACATGCAGGACCACAGGACTGGCTGGCACCAGTCATAGCTGCCGTGTACCAGGTGCCTGCGTGTACCCAGGACAGCCCAGGACCCTGTATTACTTAGTGCACAATATACAGTCTCTAGAAGATCAGTTCTTGACTTCAGTGGCCGCTGCCTTTGATGGATGTGGTTAGGGGTGTGCTCATTCCTCTGCTCTGGTTTAGGCAGGTGCCTCATAGCACACTGTGGTGCTTCTCAGTGGGGATCTGGGGGCCAACCAGATCAGAAACACTTGGATGGGGCCTAACAGATGCCCTTCTGGGCCCTGTTCATGCAGTAGAGCATGTAAGAAAGCTTTAATCCTCCCAACATGCCTGGGAGTTAGGTGGTATTCTCCTTATGTCACAGAGCAGATAATTTGAGACACAGATAATTTGAGGCACGGAGAATTTGAGAAACTTGCCCAAGGTCACACAGCTAGGAGGAGGCAGGGCTGGAGTTCTCTGAGTATGTAAGACTGACAGACATACTGTAAGTATACCTAAGACTTAGTGCTTTAAAAGTCAGTGCCAAGTGTCAGGTGAGTGGAAAAATTCATTCTGTAGGTGGTTCTGCCTCAAAGGTGGCCTGGGCGGAGGGATTTTCATGGTACCCATGTCACCACTGTCATTCCCAGGGGCGACGTTGTAAACCAGGACGACCTGTACCAGGCCTTGGCCAGTGGTCAGATCGCAGCTGCTGGACTGGATGTGACGACCCCAGAACCACTGCCTACAAACCACCCTCTCCTGACCCTGAAGAACTGTGGTAAGAACCGCATTTTCTGACGCAAACTCCCTGCTGCCCTGCAGGACCAGTGTTTTCCAGGGGGTCCTGAGGGGCCGGGTGTGGAGCTAGTGTGAGCAAGTGCTGAACCCAAAGGGACACACCAGGGACTGTAAATGTTTACACTGTTAGTGACATGGGTGTATGACAGGAGCAGTCCTCTTGAGCATGTTCTGCTGGGTCTCTGTCCCTAAAGGAACAGAGTGTAGGTGTGAGAGCATTTGTTTTAGGAAAAAAAAAAAAAAAAAAGAGTGGGCCAGGTGTGGTGGCTCACACCTGTAATCCCAGCACTTTGGGAGGCTGAAGTGGGCGGATCACGAGGTCAGGAGTTCGAGACCAGCCTGGCCAATATAGTGAAACCCCATCTCTACTAAAAATACAAAAATTAGCTGGGTATGGTAGTGTGTGCCTGTAGTCCCAGATGTTTGGGAGGCTGAAGCAGAAGAATCGCTTGAACCTGGGAGGTGGAGGTTGCAGTGAGCTGAGATTGTGCCACTGCACTCCAGCCTGGGCAACAGAGTGAGACTCCATTTCAAAAACAACAACAAAGTGGGCTGACTACATGTCTACATGTGTTATACCACAGTGACTCGTGTAAAACCTGTTACTCTAAATTGCTATTACCAGTTTAGGTGTGAAAAATTAAAAGTGTAATGACAATGCCAATATTTATAACTTGGCCAGTTTTTCAAGCTGTTGTTTCACAACAAAGCCCCCTTCTCTCTTCTGCTTTGTGGGGCTGGGGCCAGGCCTCTGCACACCCCATTTCTGCTGTGCCAGCTGCACTGGCAGGCCCTCACGGTGTGGGTGTGGGAGGGCCTGCTTCCTCCTGCCCTCCCTTCCTGTCTTTGGGGGAGTGGCAGCAGCACTTCTTAACCTCACAGTACCAGTTTGCTCCCCATAGTGGCTGGGGAATCCAGTTTGCAGTTTTTCCAACACTTGGTGAACCAGCCGCACTGAGTCCCGCTCAGAGATAAAAGCAACAGCCAGTCAGTGCCCCTGCCACAGAAGTCTGAGTTGCAGCACCAGAAGTGCCTCCAGCAGTTGCTACCTCTGTGCTACCATAGTGCAATGGTTCTCATACTTTTTTTTTGTTTTTTTTTTTTTTGAGACAGAGTCTCGCTCTGTCGCCCAGGCTGGAGTGCAGTGGTGCAATCTGAACTCACTGCAACCCCCGCCTCCTGGGTTCAAGCAATTCTCCTACCTCAGCTTCCCAAGTAGCTGGGATTACAGGCGTGCACCACCAGGCCCAGCCAATTTTTGTATTAGAGATGGGGTTTGTCCATGTTGGCCAGGCTGGTCTCAAACTCCTGACGTCAGCTGATTCACCTGCCTTGGCCTCCCGAAGTGCTGGGATTACAGGCATGAGCGCCCAGCAGCTCCCGGCCAGTTCTCATACTTTTATGTTCGTCAGAATCACCTGGCGGAGTGACTGATCACACACAGGTTGCTAGCCCCATCCCGAGGGTTTCTATTTCAGCAGGTCTGGGGTGGGGTCTGAGAGAGGGTGCTCCTCACTGCTCCCAGATGCCACTCAGGCTGCTGGTCCTGGGACCACACTTTGTGGTTTGGATTTTTGTCACCTGCTCAGTTAGTGAGTTAACAACTTTATGCGTAATGATTCTTTTATATTAAGATCTGCTCAGGTAGCTGGTGGAGTTTATGCCTCCAGACTAACAGAGCAATCAGGGCCTTAGGTTGTCTGGGCCAGTCTCTGTCTTTAATTTGCATTCTGGAATGGACACCTAAACAAAAGGTCTTTAGCTGCTTTCCCCAGTGAATGCTCCCATTATCGCAGCCCTTGGAAACGCTCCCGTCCCTCCCCCCACCCCAGCCTGCAAGGAGCACTGGGTGTGATGTCACGGCTGTCGCCCACAGCCAGGAAAACTGCCTTCCCACCCCTACCCCAGGTCCTGGAATTCAGCTCAGGGCCCCTGGACTGCTTCAAAAGACAGTTCTTGGTCTGAGGAGAGGGCGGTCAGGGCATGAAGCTGCAGTCGCCGCTGCTGTTGCTGCAAAATCTAAGCGCTGGGCTGCAGCCATGTCCTACTGCCGGCAGGAAGGGAAGGATCCAATCATATTTGTGATGAAAAAAGACCTTGCAGCTCCAAGCAACGCAGCTGATGACCCCAGTGATCCCTATGAGGGGAGCACGGATTGAGGCTGCTAAATGGAGACATTAACTGGAACTGCCTGTGCCTTGGGGGAACAGCCAGCGGCCCCTGTGGGAAACAATTCAAACTGGACTTTTCCTGCTCCCACTATAGTATGGAGAATGTCAAGGGGTCAGGCTGTGTAGACCAGTTGTGGGGCCATGCAGGAATGCATGCAGAAATACCCAGATCTTTGTCCCCAAGAAGGTGAGGAAGAGGTAGAGGAAAAGCCCGCAGAACATGTAGAAGCAGCAGCTCCCACTGAGGCCACTGCAACCAAAGAGGAGGGGTCAAGTTAATGAAGGCCATAGGACTCAGTCCTTCCACCCCTTCAGAGTGACACGGACCTTTCGCAAAATGCCATTTAGTCACCCCAACAAAGTGTTTTTTCCTCTGTTGTCCTGTAAACTGTAACGTACCAAATAATGTATTTTGATGATCAGGGGGCTTGGCCTCTTGACATATACACTGAAAAAAATGGGGGTTGTTTATATGTGTCCTGTGTAAACCTGTCGGCAAATGTAGCCACCACTTTTGAATTCTCCTAGATGGCCCTTAATTTTGCCACTTTGAAATAATGTGCTACTCAATCTCAGCAACCAAAAACCATTATCCGGGAACGTTTCTTATGAGTGAGCAGATTTATTCTGATTCATTGTATGTCTAAAATGTTGGGATGGGGCTGGTTAGGGTGGCTCATGCCTGTAATCCCAGCACTTTAGGAGGCCAAGGCAGGAGGATCACTTGAGACCAAGAGTTCGAATCTAGCCTGGACAACACAGTGAGACCCCATCCCTATAAAAAATTAAAAATTAGCCATGTGTGGTGGTATGCACCTCTAGTTCTAGCTGCTCAGGAGGCTGAGGTGGGAGAATCGCTTGAGCCTAGGAGGTTGAGGCTGTAGTAAGCTGATTGTGCCATGACACTCCAGCCTGGGCAACAAAGCAAGACTCTGTCTCAAAAATTCTTCTCTACTAGAAGAGGCCAAATGGTCAGATGCAAATTTCTCCAAACCCATCCTGACCTTGAGTATGTATATGGGTTACTACACTTCATTCCTGACATATTTTGATTTCCATGTTGGCACTGAGCTCCCGGTTTTCTATTTGGATGGTGAAAATTTGGACCCTGTCATTCACGGTCCCTTCCTAAGTGTAGGGAAAGGCTGGTTTTTGCTATCCCTTGTTATTCTGAAAGCTCTGGTTTGGGGTCCGTGTTCATGCTGGCTCTCAGTTTGATCAGATGCAATGTTCTTGAGAGGTGGGGATCTAATTACCAGAGAGGAGAGGAAACTGTGAATTAAGTACTCAATTATGGCTGGGCGCGGTGGCTCACACCTGTAATCCCAGCCCTTTGGGAGGCCGAGACAGAATCAGTTGAGGCCGGGAGTTCAAGACTCACCTGGGCAACAAAGACCCCATTACAATGATGATGAATTTAAAGAAGAAAATGTACTCAATTAAAAGGAAACATGATTTCTACCTGGAAAAAACCCAAAAGCAGTTTTGTGGGGTTTATTTGGTAAAGATGGCGTATCGCTGTGTGGCCCAGGCTGGCCTCAAACTCCTGGGCTCAAGTGACCCTTGCACCTCAGCCTCTGGAGTAGCTGGGACTACAGGAATATGCCACTGTACCCGGCTGACAGTTCTTTGGAGGCAAGTAACTTCACTTGCTCTGGGGTGGCACAGAGATAACTGTGCTGTTCAGCATTTCATTTTGGAGTTATATTCAGAAACCTTGTGGTCATGTGGCATCATTTTCAGGTGCACATGGTACAGGTGCACAAATTAGCACCCAGGTTCACCTTTTTTTGTTTTTGAGACAGAGTCTCCCTCTGTCATCCAGGCTAGAGTGCAATGGTACGATCTCAGCTTACTGCAACTTTTGCTTCCAAGGCTCAAACAATCCTCCTGCCTCAGCCTCCCAAGTAGCTGGGTCTATAGGTGTGGGCCACTACACCTGGCTAAATATTTGTATTTTTTGTAGAAATGGGGCTTCGCCATGTTGCCCAGGCTGGTCTTGAACTCCTGAGCTCAAGTGATCTGCCTGCCTTGGCTTCCCAAAGTGCTGGAATTACAGGCATGAGCCACTGCACCTAGCCCTAGAATACAAGTATTTCATCACATTGTGACTGGGTTTTAGTAGCCTGGAGGCCCTTCACTCTATTAGTCTGAACCTCAGCTCTGGGGGAGTGTCATGCTTAGTGACCAAGGGAGAAAAGGCAAGGCATGGAACCATGAGGTAGTCTCTATTCTTCTTACTGGCAAACCCAAGCCATGAAAACAGCCCAGTTGAAGGCTGCTGAACCACCCTTCTTATCTTCCTCTCTCTCCTTTCCAGTGATCCTGCCCCACATTGGCAGTGCCACCCACAGAACCCGCAACACCATGTCCATGTTGGCAGCTAACAACCTGTTGGCTGGCCTGAGAGGGGAGCCGATGCCCAGTGAACTCATGCTGTAGCCAAACAGTAGAGATGGAGGGCCGGGAGGCAAACCATACCCTGGTATTCTGTCAGACGTACCCAGGCTTGATTTGGATCCACAGGCAGAGCCAAGGGAAAGTCTGATTCTCTGAGGAAAGAGTGATTCTGATAGATGTACTTGTTACAGTGGTGGCTGGACACACTTGAGCCAAAAGTGTGTAATTCTATTATTAAATAATTCTCTGAGAGACCGTCTTGGCCTGTAAATGGGGAAGCTAACAAGTGTGTATGGCTGGGCATGGTGATGCACCTCTGTAGTCCCAGCAACTCAGCAGGCTGAGTGGGAAGGATCTTGAGGCCAGTTCAAGGCTGCAGTGTGCTATGATCACTCTTTAAATCGCCACTACACTTAGCCTGGGCAATGTAGCAAGGACCTGTTTCTAAAAAAATTTTAAAAATATAAAGAGCATCTGTTTGAAAGTCACAGCATCCAATGATCTGCCTGGCTCTGCTTCCCACCCCAGCCCTCAGCCCTGGGCATTTTCCTTATTGGAACCTGTCCAAACCACCTTACGCCTCATCTTCTCTGCCCAGATTCCTTCACTTGTCCCTCACCAAGGACGGGACAAGCAGAACCCAGTTGTGACCATGGCACTTGAATCTGATACCTAGACCATCAGGAAAATTAAAGAGCCCTTCCAGAAAAGGAGTTAACTGGAAGAAATGAGAACTAGGTAAGGATGTTTAACACTCTTATTTTGGTCAAGAACAATTAGCGGTAGGTGGATTTAATTTTAAAATCAGTTTCAGCACCTACACATGGTTCCCTTTGCCCACCCTGTCCCCCCAGCCCCTCCCTGCCCCCAGGTGGATGGCTTTTTTTAAAATCACCACCTTACCCACTCCTCTCCAAGGTCAGGCCACAGCACTGCCATTGCCAAAGCCCTGCTCTGTGCTCAAGGAATCAGCTTCCAGAACTGGCAGATGGAGTTTCCAACTTGAGAGGCAGGTCCAGGGAGCAGCACAAGATTAGGCAGGCCCTTGGAGAGCAACTGGGTAGACTGAAAGCAAAATCTCATGCATGTGCATAGCTCAAAGACAGAAAAGGAAGGCGGGGGAAGGCAGAAGGGAATGATTTGAGGGGAATGACCAGTTAACTTACTAGGTTTGGTTTAAAACAAAGTACTAGTCAAAGAAGGGGTGGCAAAAAGATATAACCCTCTTTTGTTTCAACCTTAATAACCTAAAGAAAAATAACACATATTTAGAGGCATGAATATGACAAATTTTTTATTTCAAAATCTCAAGTTGTAACCAGCATAGCACCACTGACATGGATGCCTTGATAGAACTCTATGATCTGATCACCAGAAAAGATTCTACATGATCACGCCAGACTATAATTAAGGCTAACCAATCAAAATTCAGGTACCCAATACCAGTTATAATCCAGGTAGAAACTACAGATCATAGGAACCCTGGGACTGGCTTTCCAGGGAACCCTGGAATTATTTTTTAAGTGCTACAGCATGTACAAGGACACTGGCCCACAAGCTTGCTTCTCACACGTAGAAACTGACCGACTAAGAGGTAGATGAGAGATTCCAGGTTCCATCTAGCAGTGGAGAGGCAGGGCTTCAGCATGTATCAGAGAGAAGCCCCAAAAGCAAAGTCCACTTATGCTTCAGCAGAGGTGAGCGGGCAGGCTCCTGGCACCACCTCCTCCACAGGGAAGGGAAGGAGGGCTGCACCGCTCTCCCTGTGTCACTGGCTCCTCTCCCTGGGTCCAGGTGGGGCCTCTTGTTTTCTCCAGGCTAACCCACTGTGTCCCAAGGTTAATCTCACAAGACACTGGTCCCTACATCACGTAAAGGGTGGATGGGGAGCCTCCTAATACTATGTCAACATGACTGCTAACAAGGAGCCACACACACAACTGAATTTCACAGGACCCCATATCCTCCAACGGGCTCTTTCCCACGTCTACTCGAAAGGAATCGCGGGTTTCCCTTTGGGCTTTTCTTCCTGGGAATCAGTCCATGGGAGATGCCAAGCCCTGCTGGAACATGAAATTATCCACAGATGTGTAACTGCATACTCTAACAGGAGAGAAAACACGCTTATTTTTGTTTCCAGCTACACAGACTTAGCTTTCTAAACACAAAAACTGAATAATTTATCTGAATTATGCATAATGGTTTGGTATCTCTAAGAAAGCATATAAAACATAAAATAAACTCATGTTCGTGCATGAATTAAACTGACTTCATGAGTCCTAGGGAGATGCATTAACCTGTGCTGTTCCCCTGGATGCACACTTGGCCTCACACAGGTGCCACTAACAGCCCCGATGGCACAGTGCCAGAGGACAGCAAGGTGAGGCTGGGGAAGTGAGGATGCAGGGCCCAGAGAGGACCTGGGCAGTGACCCGAGTGCCTCCAATAGTCTCAGATGCTACTTGATTACTTCTATGCTATGGGCTGTCAACTCTTAAACAGGCTAGAAAATATTTACCCATGTACTACCATGTTTGGATTTCAAACAAACATTTGGTATCAGATTGGGGGAGCAACAAATAATAAAATTAGGGTCTGTACTGTTAAAGTATAGTATGTAACAGTAATAAAACCTGTGTGGGGGCATTTTTGGTTAATTTGTCATCGAAAACAGTAATTCAACCTGGGAGAGCTGCTATATGGGGAGGGAAGAGTGAAGAAATGAAGTGGAGAACAGGCTTGTCCTCGGGTAGGATGTGTCAGCTTAGACTGGCCCTCAGCATCTGGATGGAGCAATGGGTAAAGGTGCCATGGAAGACCCCACAAAACGACTCCACGTCATCAGAACAAAGACAAACACAAGCTCTTTTCTGACTTCCTAACATAGAACTGTAACATCTGTAATACAAGTTGGTTAAAATACTGCTCAAACAGCACATACGGGAACAATACCTTGTCACTCTCTACAAGTACATACTCCATTTACAATTTGGTTTTTAAACCAGAAAAAACTGTTAAAACATCTATCCAACAGTGATGTATTCAAAAGTATATACACCTAATAGTCCAAGAGAATGCTCACTCTGGACCCAGTGTCAGCACCAAAGTGCAGTGTGTGTGACTGCAAATCAGGTAAAAATAAAAAATACAGTACTTTCTGAGGCCTAGGACTAGCTCAGGATACACTTTAAAGCATTTGTGGCAGACAGGCGTGTCCTCAAAGGCCTTCCTTTAAGACAGGCACCAAATCACCACTGGTTACACATAAGTGCATTTTGCATCACTGTACAGGGATATAATTTCCCATCAGAAGGTATAGGAAATTTAAATGCTACACAGTTTTACAAAAATTGCTAGAAAATTTTTTTTGCACTTCAACTTTAAAATTTTTAAATGTGCCACTCTCAACATCAATTACAAACTACTTTCTGACTGCATTACTCAACCCTAAGGAAGAACCTGGTTTCAGGGATTGCATCCCTTTCCCAAGACGTGCACTTGATTCAGAAATGCAGCAGCACAACTACTACATGTTAGTTCTCCGGTTATTAGTTGCTAAACTGTTTAAGAGCCACTGGGCAGCTAGAAGCCTCGAACCCAAAGGCATTAACTGCTTACCAAAAGAAATTCAGTCCGACAACTGGCCTCAGCGTTGTCTTGAAAGGACAAACAGCTAGAGCAAAGTGCTGGGAAGATTGCTGCTCTGCCAGCGCAGGCAGGTAGTCTTTGAGTGCTTATACAGGTGGCTGGACTGACTAAACCTCTTGCCACACTTCAGGCAGGCGTAGGGCTTTTCACCTGTATGAACACGGATGTGTTTCTTGCAATCTGTCAAAGTCAGAAAAGTTTTGCAGCAGATTTTGCAGGCATACTTGCGAGCTCCCTCTACAACCAAAACATTGTGCTCTGATAAGGCCTTCTTGCACTTTGACAGAACATCTGC